TCATAATTTTAAAAATGCTGTAAGTACATTAGTAGTTATTTTAGTAGTTCAACATTAAAATAACAGATTGATATTAAATAACATTTAACTTAAACTGTTTTCAAGAATACTCTGGGAGCTGTCATGGAGAGATTTAGGGCTATGCTTCAAGGCACTCTGCAAAGGCTTCCTGGGCTTTTGTGGGAAAGCCAAGATTCTAACAGGGTAAACTGATAATAGGGCAAGAAGTTTCCTAAAAATTCCAAGTCTGTATTCCTCTTCTGAAAACCCACTTGCAAAGAAGCATTGCTTTAAAATAGAATAGATCAGTTGGTTAACATAGGCATCCTCTGCTTTATAAAGAGCCAAGGAGGAAGGTTCCATATTGATTACTTGCTTTTGTGCAGTAGAATCTCTCTCTCTTTGTGTTTGAAAGCTCCTAATTTTATTGTTGTACGCACCTATATTCCTTTTCTAATCCAATTCCCTCCCACACATTCTTATAAACACCCTGTAACAACTGTGTCCTTATAGATATGACACAGTTATCCTCATCCTAGGTTTCTCTTCCTCCCATTCTGTGCCTAGCCTTCCCATTCTGCAAGGCCCACCTAACGTGCTCATTCCTTCCTAATATCTTCCCTAATGTCGGAGTGAGAACATACAAATGTTTTCTTTGAGTTCTGGTAGCACATTCTATTTACTTCGATTAGGTACACACATCACTCTAGTACTTTTTTAAAAATTTGCCTCGTGTTGGTCAATATTTTATACTCTTGTTTCACCTTTGACAGTACGTCCCTTGAAAACAAAATGAGTCACTTTATAATCTTATAATCCAAGTGCTTATGTACAACAGTGTTCCTGTAGATATTTGTTATCTTGAGATGAGAAGATTCACCAGGCTTTTAATTTAAATATCATGTCATCTATGAAAACTTCCAGAATGTCAGAACTAAATATGTCCTTTCTCCTGTGGCACCTTATAATTAACAACATTAACTATATAATCACCTGTCATTTAACTTTCCCTTTACTTGTTTGTCCTATTCATGTCACCTGAAGTTTCTGGAGGTTATCTTATGTGCCTTCCTCCTTTCAGTCCCCCAGTACCTAGTACCTGGCCGTATGTGATAGATGCTTCAAATATACATTGGAACGCAGAAGGGAATATATAAACCAGTGAGAAAAATGTCTTCAATTGTTGTGAGAGGAAAATTCCTTTATGTAAATGAAAAAAATATTTTGCAATCTTTAGCTTGTGATTTATTATGGCCATAAATACTTTTCTTCATGTCTTCTGCACCAAGCATTTTCCCTCTAATGAGTTTATGTATAATAAAAGTGTTTAAATGAAAGAGTGACTGAAATAGTCAAACCTATAGCCTAAAAAACTAACACAAGTTATCAGAGCATAAAAATACACTATTGCAATATTGTTCTTTTTGAGCCGAATGAGATTTCCAAGCCACTTTGCATTATGTATTTCTTTACTCAGATGAAAATATGCGCTCTGCAGGTTTTGAAACAGCTATTCCTTTCTAGTTGTCTTCTGCTTCTCATGAATCAGGCCAGCACACATCATTTCTACATCACCCAAAGCCAAACTCCTAAGCTGTTTCCATTAGGCTTTTGTTCCAATGGAAATAATGGCTTCCATTTACTGCAGTGTCAGAGGCCAGTGAAGCCAAATCAGCTACAGCTGCATTGTTTTATAACAGAAGATAATGTTATCCCCACTGTAGTTACAAATGTGATTTCCTCAGAGTTCAAATACACTTGGAGCTGAACTGTGATTTGATGTCTAATGGTCAACTCATGTTCTGGGGATTAAGTTAATTAAAACAGTTGCCCTACTCTATTAAAGCTCCCTGTAGACTAATTATTAAAGTGCCAAGCACCATTACAGACCTCCAGCAATTGAAAGTCACAAAGGGAGTTGCTTATATTAAGGGAACTCCCGAACTCAGCAGATTATCGTGGGTAGTAAAAGAACACGCACACTGAGAAGTAGATTACCTTCTCCACAGCCACTGAGCTATTATAAAATGTACAAAGGAATGCCAAGTGTACAAGCCTTTGGATTCATAGAGTTTAGAATCTGCAATTTCCAAAACTAGTCAAATACCAGAAAAGCAGCTTAGTAAAGTGCAAAGAGCTCTATTCAGAGAATCAGGAACATAACCTAGTTGCGATCTCCCTCTAACTGTCTGAGTAATCTCAGATAATTCCCCTCACTTTAGGCACTGAATGATTCATCTACAAAATCAGTAGTATACCTGTGACCAGTGATTCTATTTAAACATATTTTGAGCTAATCAGGACTTTTACCAAACAAAATCTTTGGACGACAAATTACAATGGAGTGAAGTGGCAAAGGCAGTGTCTAAACCACTAGAACTCCTCCTCTTTGGACATCTTCGAAGAACTTTGCTGCTCAGACCATGGTTGAAAAGGTTTTGGATTCTTTACTGGTACAGAAGGGAGATATGTGACTTTTGCTTTTCTTGGTGAATCCCACAGAAGTGATAAGCAAACAAATCACAAATTTTTTTTCTTAATATGTATGTTTCTTTTCTATGAGACATCAATAATAGTCACAATAATAAAAAAAATATGATGCCTGTATTGAAATAATGGAAAGAGCATTGGTTATAAAGTTTAGACTGAGCTAAATTTTAATTCCAAATGGAATAGCTCAGCATTTAGGACATGTTGTTTTTCGTCTTGCAGTTTTGGTCCATACATATGTTACTACCTCATAACTCTGTTGCCAGAATTTAGATGGGCACACTCACCTAGTCACCCACCATGGAGTGGTTACTTAAACTTATTTCCCTCTTACTTTTATAGAGCAAGGAGATGATATCCTTTTTATAGTTTGCTTGATGTAATCAGATGTTCTTTTATTTCTGAGCTGGGTTGTGGTTCCAGACATTTGATAGATGAGTACATGGTATTTCATGTTGTATTTTGATTAAAAAAAGCCATTATCTCAGTTATAAGAACAAAAATTTCAGAGGCTGTTGGGATGAAAAAAAACAAGACAAGGGATTAGATATGTCTGTAGATGATTATACTCTCAAGGTTATCTATGAGCGCTCACAGTCATCAGGTATTCAGATACTCATATTACATGCAGCTTATGTTGAAGACTGAAAGCCATTAAGATATAGAACTTAGATCTTTTCATTTTAGATATGTCAGCACAGAGATATTTTAAAAATCAGCTTTCTATATTAACTTTCCATTTATGTAAGTTTAATATCAACTGGTAATATTATTGTTACTTGTCAGCCAGCAAATCAGTTTAGGAATCATTTTGTGTAGGCAATAAATCAGCTTGTAAAATCCCTTTCCTTAGTAGAGTTAACAGCATACCTATTAGAAAGCAGCGGTTCCCATTATTACTCCAAGAGGTGCTAGGGCATCAAAGTGTATAAGCTCTGACAGAGCTCATTCATCAAGGTAGAAACTATGTTTCCAGCGTTAAAACAGAGGCTGAGAAACACCAGAGACAAGGATTTAGATGAAATGAGTAGAAATATAAAACAGGAAAGAGAGTTACAGAGAGAAGAAAATAGAGAAGTTTGTCTAAAGTTACATGCATGCACTGATATTTTTATTTGTATATGCACATGTAAAACATGTGTACACACACAATTATTAGTATAATCTTTCCCTTCACAAATATATGAGATGCAATGACTTAATTTATGGAGTACTACATTAAGAAAAAGTAAAAAGGCTACAATTGTGTAGAAGGTATTGTCTTGCCAATGGGGTTCAGTCCTGGGCAAATTCGCTATGGATTCAGTGTGACCAAAGAAATTGACAGCAAAAAGTTCTTGGGGAGAAAGGGTTATACCCAACTTTATTTTCAGGTGGCAGGTCAGTCACTAGAATCCCATCCACTCAGAGCGAGTCTGCATGCAGCAAGCCAGCAAGCCAGTCTCTGCCTCTGGGCCCCTCTGTCCACACAGCCGTCCTCTGAACTCCAGCCTCTGCTCTGCTCTCCTGCAGCCTTGCAGCCCTGCCACCCTGTTGCCCAGAGCACTGGGCAGAGCTCTTTATATAGAGTCAAATTGCTCACAAGTGTGCAGTGAGCTAGTCAACCAGGGCCAGGTGAGAATCCTGGCCACAGGAACTCTCATTTTATGCACAGATATTTTTAAGCAGATTATTTACTCTGATGATAAATTTGTATATTCAGATACTACATCCAATAACATTACTGATTTCTTGATGGGTGTGCTGTACAATTCAATAACAAGTTAATCTGTATCTGAAAGCATACAACTAAAATAGCGTCAAGATTCATTCTGTGTCTTTCAATCAAGTCAAGTTGCAGGATACATTTGTTTTCTAAGAAGCATAAGTTGCTATATCACAAAAAATATTAGTACTCAATTTCCAAGTGGTACAGCCCAGGAGGCTGGTTCCCAAGAGTAACAAATGAGATAATTCTCAGTAAATACTTATTGATTCATGGGCTTGAAACAAAGAAAACTGGTGTAATCACAGTTATCTGTATTATCACTTAATTAAATTTTTTTTCTGACTGTCCAAATTGATTAATGTTGGTCATGTTTTAAAATATGCAAAAATAGACAGATCCAACATGGCAGTTCCATCTCTTCAGTTGGGCAAAAATAACTATAGGTAACTAATGTCATACAGCTAATTTGATATTGTTATTAATCATTAATAAGGTTCCAATCAGCCATGGCCCATCACCTAACTGGATTGATCAAATTAACTGAGTAACTGCTGCCTGTCAGCTTAATATTGCCTTTAAAATAGATGACAGTGCTGATGTTTGCTAGATATGCAGATGGAATAACTAACTTGATTTACCATCTGTGTTCCCCCAAATATCAAATAGAACATATCACACCAAATAACCTTATTCTTTCAAACCTAGGAAGTGTACCTCTGTGACCATTTGGATTTATTGGATGAAAAGGAGAAAAAAAGGGAATACTTGACTGATTTATTACATATCATAGATCTAGTTATTTATTCCAAATTTATTAGAGTTATCAAGACAAATGTCAAGTTCAGTGAGCTTCAGAGGTGGTCTTGGCTGCAGCCGATTGGATGCGATTTTGATGGCTGTGGAGACCAGTACGTCCATCTGCAGTCTTTGGCCATGCCTGTTGTCATCTTTGTTCCTAAATGAGACCTCTTGTATGTCTAACATGGTTGCCATAGAGATATTCCTACTCATAAAAGATCTTTTTTATATGGAAGCTTCTCGTCTTCAGTCTGACATCATAAATCAAGTCGGCATCAAGAGCCACAGAGAGAAGAGACATTATTTAGAGAGCTGTGTTAAATCACCACCCAGAATTTTACATAATGCACTTGGTAAATCACAAAACTACAATAGAGTTACTTCATGATAACACAGTAAATAACCAACGGCACCACTATAAACCAGCCTGTGGCATGACTATATTTTTAGTCCTAACATTCCTAACATGAAAGACTCCCAATTTACCTAAAATGTTTTCTGTTTGAATCCTGGTTGCTGACTGGCTAGTGACACCATTACAAGTTGTAGGGAAAATAAATTTAGAATAAATATGTGAGCAAAAACCATTTCAGTGTCTGAGAGCAATTACAATCAAAGCATACTATATTTTCTCATTGTCAAATGAATATGAGCTGGAACATCTTCAATACTTCTGTTTTATTATCATTTAAATGTGTTTCCAGCACACAGGACATTGGCAGTATCGGGCAGCTGGGTTTTGATCACAACAGCAAAAATCTAGTTTTTAGCTCTGGACCATTGCTTTCTGAAAGAACTGCTTGAAGAATAATAGGAAGAGAGAACATTCAGTAAAGTTTGTCCCATAGTCCTATTGTCTGTTTCTGTCTCTCTTTGACTCTATATATCTCTCTCTCTTTCTTCCTCTCCCTATGCTGTCATTTTCCCTGATTTGATTGGCTTTTATTATTTTTCATTTTTAAAGCATTAAAAATATATCTGTGTTACTCATTTGACTAATTTCCTATTGAATTTGTAGAAAAATAGTGCATTTTCTTTGCTAAACTTATATATGGCCACACATCTAAATAACCTATCACCAAATTGGTAAACAAAATAACAAAGTATAAAAAATGACAGACTCTTCAGAGTGATGGCAAAATTCTGAATTTCAAACTTTTATGTTATTCAATGTGCATACATTGAGTTACCATGGAGTAATTGAAAGCACAACAAAAGTGCTTACATCTATTTGATGAAAATAAGCAAATAATTTTTTAAAAGATACGAAAAGATATATGGAAAAATGTCATAGCTTTATTTTAAAGCATATAATAATATTGTTTTGTGATCACAGAGCAGAATTTTCCAGTTATGAGTAACCTGACAACAACCATACATGCATAACTTAGAAAGTCAAATGGCAATGTTTGAGGGTGCATAATTATGATGCACTCAATTCAGAGAAATCATTGAGGTTCTATGACAGTGAAGCTTGCTGGAATCTGCCCTTTAGGATATCAGGGAAAGATGTTCACAAACAAAATTTCCTGAGGGTCATAATGCTCTGTAGGATCTCAGTACTAAAGAAAACTATTATGCTATAGAAGTCTGGTACTGGAGAAGCCAGCTCTAGCAGCCACTCTGGAAAAGTGCCTTGCTCTGCAGAAGTCTGTTGAGATAGCATACCGGAAGGAAGAAAAACTCTTTTCTCTTGAAGTGTCTCCTAAGTGTCCTTTCCTGGCAAAGGTTAACATGTGCCCACTAATGAAGAGAAAATATTTAAAGAGCTCAGCTTCATTTTCTCACAGCTGGCAAAGAAGGGTGAATTTGCAACTACAAGGAAATAAATTGACAGGGGGACTGAAAATTGTGAAAAAAGAATATTGAAAAAATAAGATTTGAGCTAATATATTAAGAGATTAAAAGAATCATCCAGAGTAAGATATTTTCTGGCAGAGGGAAGCATGTTGGAATATGGCTGGTGGTACTGAGAAATAACAAAATTATCAAAATGGCTGGAATAGAGTGAATGATGATGAAATGATAACAGACAAAAACAGAAAAGAAAAAAAAGAACAGCTGTCATATAGGAAATTTTATACTTTTTAAGCTGTTGACTCTGAATGAAGTGAGTACCATAACAGGGTTTTGAACAGGAAGGGGCTTTGATTCAACTTTCTTTTATGAAATTAACTCTGGCTGTTGTTTTGAGAACAAATTTTAGAGAGTAAGGTTAAGCATAGAAGATCTACTAGAATGTTATCGCATTAAGTCAAATGAAAATTAATGATAGCTCAGATGAAGTATTAGCAATAGAGGTATGAGCAGTGGTCAGCTTCTAAACATCCTATGTAGCTCCAGGAGAAAGGAGATTCCCCACCCAGGGCAAGTTCACCATTAATCTAGTCAAACTGAAGGAGGACAAGGGGAAGAGCAGGTTGAGTTATAGGGTTATGTGGCTCACAGCTCAGTCTCTCACTCAGTTTTCCCTGGCACACTCCCAAGTCCTTCCTCTCTGGCCCCCAACCAGCAAGACCACTCCATCCAACACTCTGGCTTCAGTGCCCACTTGCTTCCCCTGCCCACCCCCTCCAGCAGGAACTCCATGGGTGGGATCCTGGTGACTGGCTGGCACCAGTTATACACCAGGAACAGAGGGGAGGAGAGAATGGCTACCATTCTCCACCCCCTACCCTGGACTTACTGTGGCCCACTGAAATGTAAATGGACCCTTATCTGAATACCACTGTGGAAGCCAGGTGGAAATTCTGGGTGGAAACTTCCATTTATCCAACACTGAGATTAAAAGAATCAATAGATTTTCATGATGGACTGAATGTGGAGTCAAGGATGACTTCAAGATTTTTGGTCTATGCAGATAGAATTACGGTGTTAACATCAACTTAGATTATAAGAATTCCTTTGAGTGGAATGGAAAAATTCAGATTTCAGTTTTGGTCATGTACATTTTTATATGTCTACTAACTGCCCATTTGGAGATGACAAGTAAATTTCAAGTAAGCAGTTAGATGTAAGCATCTGAAGATCAGCAAAAAATTTCAGCTGGAGATAAAAATTTAGATTTGTAGGCATGTAGATTTATTTAATGGCATGCAATCAGAGGAGTTCACCAAGGGAGTAATGGCAGACAGAGACGAGTAGGTCCAGTATCTGAACTCAGGAGCATTCCAATATTGAAAGGTTTGGAAGAGATTAGCAAATAAAACTGAAAAGGAACAACTCGCTAGAAATGACAAAAAATTAGAAGCCAAGTAATACACAAATCAAGGAGGAAAAAGAGTAAACCTGTTTTAGCTAAGTAATAATTTGTGACTGAGCATTATGTTTAGCAACTGAAAGGTTATTGGTGGCCTGGAGGAAAGCAATTTCTGTGTACTAATTTTAGCAAAACTCTAACTGAAATGAAATTTTAAAAGCCTATGGTAGAACAAGAATTGACAACATCAAGTATAGATGCCAATTTTAAGACTTCTGCTGTAAAGAGGAGAAACAAAAATACAATATGTGGGACAAAGTGGAAATGCAGCTTTGTTTTCTCCCAGTTTTCCTTGTCTGAACAGTAATTTCACAATTAATATACAGTTTAGTGGTAAGAGAAGGCAAAATTATTATTATTGAATTTTCTTTTTAATATGACTTGTTTGTGGTTGGCTTTCTTTAAACAAAAATATGGAAATTGAATTGAACCAATTACTTTTTGCTTTATTATTTTCCTCACATGAATTATGTCTGTATTGAATTATTTTAATCATCATAAGAAATTTCTTGAATAAGCCCTAGTTTATCCAAATGTATTATTCTTTTGTGCATTATTTTAATTCTTCTATTACAAAAATGCAATTTACAATTTTTCATCACATTTTAGAGGTAAAATAGAATGAGATTTTTTTGTCTATTGTAATCTGTCAGGAATTGGTATCAATGTTATGAAAACATAAAAAAGCTGGTTGTTTTTCTTCAATTTGTTTGCTATATAAAATTAATTATTGGAAGAATCATATGTTGAAAGTTGAAAGATTCCATATAAGAATTAATAATGGGTTACTTATTTTTGACAAATATGTCAGTTTTGGAAAAATAAATTTTGAAACAAATATTACCTTAACAAATCTTATGTCATTCAAATTTTTCAAAATTATTAACATATTGTATAAGTCAGCCTACTATAATTAATGCTAGTGTGCTTATGTTTGAGGTCTGATTTTCTGTGTTGTTTGATCATGCTAATATAATTAATCATATAATTTTTCATTTGTTCAAAGAAAGGTTTCGTATCTTTTGATAATCTTAAAAAGTTATTCAATCATTTATGTCTAATTTTATTTTTATTTCCATTTCTGCTTTCCATAATCCTTTTTCACTTTATGATCAATATATTTATTTTGTTTTGGTGTGTATCTTCAATAATAAAAGTGTTGAGTACTATGGATGTTGTTCTAGGTATACCTGTTACCACAGCCCATAGACTGTAATCTATATAAGTTTAGTCACAATTATGTTCTAGATATTCTGGAATTGTGATGTTTATTCGACATTGAGCAATTGAGGAGATAGTTGATTTCCACGCCTGTCTCTCTTCTCTCTCTCCTTCTGTCTCTCTCTCTTACTCACTCTTTCTGTCTCTGATGCATATATATAATATACATTATTATATTATAGGTTATGCCTTACTATATACACACATACATATTTCTATTATTGCATAATGTAATAAAATATGAATTTCCTTTTGTAAAGTTTTTAAAAGTTTGTCTTCATATTTGATAAAAATAGTTTATGAAATGATGTTGATGTTAGAATAGAATGTTCTCTGTAGGATATAGTTTGGCACATGTCTACTTAATTAATTCTATTAATCATACTCTTATTTATTTTTCCTAAATTTCTCTTTCAGTGTCAAAATAAAAAGAATTGTTTTAACCTCTTCTCTGAAGAAGCTTTTCTTTAAATTTAGAAAATTTAGCTTTTCTTTAAATTTTAAAGCCTGTTTTTCTTTAAATTTCCTTCATTATTTGTTCGTGTAGTTCAGTGCCATATTATTTGTAGAAACATAAACATCTTAATTTGTTTTTTATTCTGGCATTTACCTTTTATTATTTTAAAATGACACATTTATTTTTCATTGTTTTTTCTTGGATGTTTGTATAACATCTAATTTATTTTTATGTATTTATGTTGATACTTCATGGCATAAATATGCCCATACATTTAGTTCTTTAAGTCATGTTATTTTAACAAGAACTTTTAAAGTCTGCCTGAAGTCTATTTAGTATTTTTAATTCTACTTAAAAGTCATATGCCCTAATTTTGGCTTTTCCTATGAACTTTTAACTTGATCAGTATCCATCTATTCACAAACACGTTGTTAAAAGATCAACTAATACATATTACAAATTTTAGAGTTTGAGCAAAAATTGATTTTAACTGGATAGTATTCAATGTACTAGACAGAAAGGAGCTCCAAGGAGCTGCACAAAATGAAAGACTTTTATAGTCAGATGGGAGTGGAAACAAGGAAGCCATAATAAAAAAAAAAAAGAGTTTGCTATTGCAAGGCTACTTCAATTTAGGGGGTGGCAGGGGTCTAGCAGATTACCTAATAAGTGCTGATTTTGCAACTCTGGTTGACTGGTTTAAAATTCCGTTTCTAGCACAGCCAAAACTGTAAGTAACTTAAGTCTTAGTTTGGTGACATGGGACTAAACATAACTGATTCCATTTGGGGCCTGTTGTCTTATTTTTAACAACATACATAAATACATATGTATACATGTACATATGTATATATACACATACATGTTTGAAAATATAGATATATGTGGTCCCGTTTAAGTTAAAAGTGGGAGAGAAGGCTCCAAGAAAACCATTCAGAGGTATCAGTGATGCCAAAGGGAATCGAGACTATGATCCCATCCCTAGGTGAATGTCTGTTTATATAGCAGCTTTGCCGTCCACTCCGTTTGAGAAGGATTAACAGGATATGGTGAGACACAGCAGGACAAAGAGGAATGGTAGCAAGGTTTAGCATCCTCATGATCGGCTTGAAAATGTGCATGTCTCTGAACTGTTAAATTGAACAATGAAGAATTTGGGCAATCTCCATATATTTTGATGTTGTCTGACTTTATGAAAACCAGTACTGGTGCCAGAAATGAGGATGGAGGAAAGCCTAGGGCAACTACGTTTGGAGCAGGTCAAGCCAGAGCAAATCTCCTAGCTAAGACAGCTAAAGAATGCACTCCTCTGTCAGGCTCAGAAAATCTCAAAATGTTCCCCATTAGAAAGCCGCCATTTGGATGTTTGACACACAGAGGTCAATGATAGCCTTTGATTGCCACCAGAGAAGAAGCAACAGGCAAAAAAGGACATACAGGCAGTCAGGTATATAGATAACCTCTTAATTCTCTCTAATTCTTAAATGATTGAGACAGAGAGAAAGGAAGAGATGGCCAACTCCATTACAACACGACTACACACAGAGCACAGCGGGCTAAGGAAAGGAAGGAGACTGTGTGTGGGGGGGGTGACTAGACTTTTAACTTGAACAACAGTTGGTTTTTGTTTTGTTTTAAATAACTGAACTGCTATGAAAGTCTCCTAAGTCAGTGAAATGAAGAGATGCATAGAACATTATACAAAGAAACAGCAGAGAAAATTAATTTTGTATTTTCACACAACTAAATTAAGATCACTTAAAAACTGGGTTGCATCTTCAGACATGTGCTGTTTTCAGAGCTTTCTGAAAATGTTATGAGCATTTTTTTTAAACAATTCCTTTCTTTTCCTAGGAGATTGTTAAAAGTGAATGTGAGAGACCCCACAAATCTACTCCTAGTAATTCCAAAAACATTTAGGTTCTCTCTTAAATTTTCCTTTCCATTTTGACCATGAAGGCAGATGCTGTGTGTTCTAGGGGCATGAGTTTTGTTAGTTGGCTTTTTGTTTTCTCTGTACTTTTGGCACACCTACGGCTGCCAGCTTTCCCCTGCATGCCTAGTTCAGCACAACTCAGTTCTTTTCCCATCTGTTCTTATACCTTTTTTCCTCATTTTGCATATACAGCATTGCACTGTTGGTAAAATGATGGCAATACTAGCATACACAAGATCTTAAGAAAATAGAGATTATCTCTATTTTTTTATGTTTTTGGTATGTTTTTTATATATAGCAGTTTTTTGTATGTTCCTAGGAATTTCAACTGTACACATAAAAAGCAAGAAATCAAGGCTGCAGATTTTTTTAAATTATATGAAATAGATTTTCTTGTTTATGCACACTGAACTCTACAAATAATGAGCCAACAATGAAATACTGCACTTCACATTCTCCTCTTTGCTTGATTGCGAATTGAAGGCTTTCCTAGTAAAAGTGCAGAAGTATCCGTGGATGATTATGATTCTTAAAGAGTTGACATAAGTCTCTGCTGAAATTAGATTACATTGATGTTTTAAACCTCAATCCAATTGTAGAATTTTATTGATCTTTATTTACTTAAAAAAGCTTTTCCTACCTACTCATTAGTTGCTTTTTAATATTCTGTTTTGTACCAGAGTTGACATCATACATCATTTGATGTGCCAGCTGCTAATTAACTAAGTAAAATTTGAGTTTTCATTGATTAAAGGCCTGTTTGTTTAAGTTCTGTTGGCTATTTTAAATTTTTTCTTTGACCTAAAATATAGCTCTCAGTGTGTGATCCTGGACCATAGTTTTCCTTTCTAACCTTGAAGGAGTTGTATTTTGTTATAAGGTTAATAACCCCTCAGATCTTCAAAACTTATTATACCTACGTTTAAGAATTTTGTGAATTATGAAAAAATATTACTTAGCAATGCTCAAGCCAACAGAATGAGCACACTATCCAGGGTTATGCATTCTCTGGTGCATTTCACTGCAGCCTTCATTTTTGAGTTATACTCACCACTTCAGTGTGATTATTGACTGAATTATGCTACTCCGTCAAAGGCCAATTTCCACTGCAGTCCTGTGGGAAAGAAGACTTAATATTCAGTTAATTACATTTGTCCTATTAGGCCTGGAAATCTCACTGACTCTCAAGTTCTCAATTTCTGCTGCTCACAGGTGAGCATATTGATGTGTCTTACCACACTCTGAAGTTCTTATGCATTGCACACTGTCATTCAATTGTCCCTAATTTAAAAGGAGTCTTAAGTTCAGCTCTACAGAATTATAAGGGTCAGAAGTTATAAACACGTTCTGGCCTCTTCTGCCAGTCTGTTTCAGTTTGTAACCCTTGTCTCCAAAAGCATCCATCTTGTGAATTTGCTTCCCTTAAAAGTAGAAAGTATTTTATATGATTTAAGGGTTTACCAATTGCTCACACATGTATTGTCCTTCAGTCCTTCAAGGATCATTACTATCCCAATTGTACAGATGAAGAAATGGAGGCCCAGAGAGAAAGGATTTCCCTCAGGCCTCTCAGTTTACAAATATGATACCAACATGTGAATGTATATGGCTTATTACATAGTTTGCCATTTTTCCAAAGGAACACGTGGAGAGAACAAATTCTAGAGCCAGAGTGTCAGGTTGTGACCACTTACCAGTCTTAGCAAAATTGCTTGTTTTCTTTGTGGCTTAGTGTCCTCGTTTGTAATATGAAAATAAGAATGATACACCTACCATAGAGAGTTGTTGTGAGGAAAAAATGAGTAAGTCATTGAATACAAAGTATTTGAAACCATTCCTGGCATGTTCATGCTCCATGTAGGAATTAGCTTTAATTGTTTTCAGATTGCAGTCCCTTTCAGTACTAAACTAGAATCATGCTAGTAGAGTATATAATAGCTGGACAGCACGGAGGTCTCCAATCTTCTTTCTGGGATGATAACTGTGTAGTATAGCCAGCTCTCCAGGAAAGAATTTTGCCAATAAGATAGTGTAAAACATGTATTTTTTTCTGTTTTTACATTAATCTAATTTAGTAGCATCAGTATATTACAGTGGTTTTCCTACTGTAGTTGTGAAAAAAGAATTAGCACAGCTCATTAATTAGGTCATAAGGCATGCCTCAAAGAGCACTTCTAAACAGTTAACTTGCAAAGCAATGATTGTTACACTCTCAAATGATGGTCCAAACTCTAGTAGTAAAGGCAGTTTAGAAAATCATGTTTGGTATGTTACCTGTTTATGATGTGAAGAAACAGAGGGTGAGTTGGATGTGAATTTAAATGACTGTACTTAGTTTAACAAAACTATAAGAATAATAAACTGTTACTTTTGTCAAGGGTTTTTGTTCTTTGTTTTTAATTTGTAAGAATGAATTTGCTAGTTAGTAGTGTTGCAGAATCATGAGACCTTGGCCCAAGGTTGGAGATTCATGGTCAAGGTAAAGGTAAATTTTGGGAATAAAAGCTAAGATGTATGCCATTTTATATTTGACTTATATTAAGGCTTAACATCACCTGAATGTGAGCGCTGACACTTGGAAGATGTTTGAATTCTGGGAAGCTGATTATCTTTTAAACTTGTTTACCTTCTTACAAAATAAACATAACAGTAATCATCTCTCAGGGTTGTGAGTCTTAAGAATGAGATGATACATATATGAGATTTGATCCAGTATCTAATACGTAATGAGGTAAGTATTTTATTTTATTAGCTATTATTATATTATTTCAAAATTATTTTTGCTTACTTGTTGACACTGCGAGTATTCCTATCTCTAAAAATTATTCTTAAATTAACTACATTTGAAATTTTGTCAGTCAATATTATACTCTCATAAAGCTGGAAATTTCTCTATGTTGGAAACTCTTCTTCCCTGAATCACACTTTTGATTTTTTCTTAACCCTCAACAGAGGGAAGGAGATGATCTATTTGTATTTTCCTGAGAAAGAGTACTTGAGAAATAAAAGCATTGAGAGGGTATACAGACAAAAATGTCTTTTTTAATAGTTTGTCTACAGAAATTATAGGCTGAAACTATTTCAATAGAGGCAGAGTCCTGTTATGCTCAAGATCACAGTCTATTCAGAAATCCACTGCTATTCAATAACTGAATTTTCCTGAGTATCTAGTTACCTGTTTGCAAACTTAAAGAAGGAAGTTCACTGGACCTTGGGGTAGGATCCTCTATTATCCACTTGGGAGGATGCATTTGGGGTCATGAAAATCTGTAATTTCATGACATTAAAACATAGGCAAAATATTTTTATAATTTCTTCAAATCCATTTTCTCTCTTCTGTATTTCTATATGTCTGTTATTTAATAATCAGTTTTTCTGGACTAATCTGATAAAATTTTGTATTTCCATATTTTCCCTGTCTTTTTTGTTTTTGTTCTTAAGTTTCGGGAGATGTTTACTTTGATTGCTATCTTTTAACTCTTTTATCAATTCAAAAAATAACATTATTTTGTGGATCCAAAATACGTTTAAATTTCTGAATGGGGTGTGTGTGTGTGTGTGTGTGTGTGTGTGTGTGTGTGTGTGTGTATTTTGTCTTATTTTGTTTCTGGTTTTAATTCTCCTTTTCTTCTCATCTCTAAAGACTGTTCTGAGAACTTATTTTTCAATTTTTTTCTCTATTCTTCCTTTCCTCTGGTTTCTTTTTATTTTCATTTTCTTATTTTTTTTTGATTTTTTAAATTTATCCAGGTCATGCTGGCATGTTAGTGATTATATTGTTCTTACATTTACTGCATTTTTTACATTAAAAAAAATGTGTTGCATTTTATTTTCCCTTTGATATCTGTTGATTCTTGGCTATCAACTCACACTAAAGAGCTGAGAGCTCAAATGCTAAATGGATTCTGTGCATTTTTAAATTTTGTTAACTGGTAGAGCTCAATCTAGAGGAAATTTGATTTTACTTCCGGCTGTCCACCAATCTTCACTATATATAAGTATTTTATTTCAACCTGGGCATTTTACCAGAAAGGAGTCACACAACCCCTGCCTAGAAGTGTTCTAGCAGTGGGGACAGTGGTTGAGGGAAGTCTAATTACTCAATATAGAGATTTCCATTATTTCCCTGATTTTGTGATATTCCTACCCTCAGATAGGCTTAGTGCCTCCTAACCAGAATATTGCTAGTTCATGTCATCAGTGAGTCAGCCTAGTGTTTGTGATCCTTGGCAGGGGTGAGGTGGGGGTCAGGAAGTCGTGAGGTTCCTGGGGAGGGTGTGAGGTTATCCAACACTATTTTCTCTAATACTTGAAAAGAATTCTGTTCCTGCCTCATGGGCATCACCAGCTTCCGAGTTCAGTTTGGAGCCAGGCTCCCATGCCGTTCCGGAGTTGTCTGACCCTGATCACCCTGCTTCTGGTCTTCCCCTCTGCGGGATTATGAGATGTCTGTGCAGTCAGTTGCCACTGGCCTGCCCGAGTTGTAGCTTCCAGAACATTTTGCTGCTGTCTCCCTGTTCATTCTCTTTGTGGCTTTATACCTTTTTCTGCTCACATTAATTTTAGTGGAAGTCAGGAGAAGCATGGTCAGTAACAAAATATGGTAAATATTTTTCCAGAACAAGAGAAAGAGAAATATGGAAATTAGAAGGTAGAGATACCACGTCTACCATTATTAGATGATGGTACCCAAAACTTGGTGTCTAGATACTTTTTGCTCCTCATTCTGAAGACTGAAAAAGTTCCATTTCATATAAAATCCTAACCATTAAAGTACAGAGTAGAGAAGCTGCCAGGAAGAAATGACCATTAAATAAAATACTGGTTTGGTCATCAAATGTTGGTGCACATACTAATGAGCATTCCCCCAAAATGCGTGACTTGGAATATTCTTCATGTAGTAATGATTAGATTTCCTAGCCTAACCTCTGAAGTTATTTTTGTTTATCACTAACACTTGGCTGTTAGCACTTTCATAAACTCACTTAAAAGCTCTAATACCACACTAAAAGGAGTGCAGCTAGAAATTAATGCATATGCCTCCACCATTTGCTAAAACCTTACTATTCTGATGACGAAAATGGGGCATATGATAACATTCTTTGATAGTTTGTGAAGATTAACTAAGACAATACGTGTCATACAAATAAAACACTTTCATCTTATTGTGACACGGCCTGGCTTCACAGCCCTTCCCTTGTCCTCCTTTAGCTCTAGTTCTTTGGGAACGTGTATAAAGCTGCGTACTTTCCCTAAAGCAGCAGTCTCCTGGCTTGGCTTCAGTATAAAATCTCACTTTGTGTATCTCGTCATGGTATTGAACTAACTAGCAAGACAGAAAGAGAAAGTGACAATTTCACATGTGCTGAGATGAAGTACCTGTCAGAATCCCACTCCCTAAGGGAAGAGCCAAGCCTGCACATCAGGGAATGAGCAGCAGGACACTCAGCGCTCTGCTGTGAACTGGCAGGAGAGGGGCCGCCTTCCGCCTGCAGGTGTTCATGCATGAGGCTCAAGGCCAAACACTTAGGTCAGGCGGGGAATGGCCATCCATCAGGGCTCAACCAGCATCCTGTCGTGCTTGGTGATGATAATTAAATGAGTCTGTCTTAATATTTTTATGGGAAAATAGGAGGGTAATTATCAAAATTCTATACTTATGGCAGATGACTCAGTCTAGAAATAGATCTTAACATTTCACATGGTATGACTTAGATTGAAAGTGATTTGAAATAGGAAAACTTTAATCATGGCAGCTAATTATCTTGCATTTGCTTTTCTGCGCTCCTGGATTTCTCTCATGCTGCCCCCACTCTCTCACTCCTCCGTCTTTGCCTTGCTCTCTGCCTCCCACCCCCATGCCCTCAAATCTGGCTTTCCAGGCATCTTTGGGAGCACAGAAGAGCCATGTGTGACAGTTCTCAACAAGTTTAATTCAGACGTTCCCAATTTCATGTAATAGATTAAAGCTCAGGCATTGGCAAAAAAGCAATATATCCTCTCTGTCTTATCCTATGTGGCTTCTTTGACCCAAGACATAATTAAATTATACCATGAATTGGACCATGGAAAGGCTTGAGGAGAGAACTGTTTTATTTTTTTCTTTCAATTACA